CAGCCGCCGCCGCAGCCCCCGGAGCCCCCGGCGGCGCCCGGCCCGCGCCAGCTGGTCTACGTCTTCACCACGTGGCGCTCGGGCTCGTCCTTCTTCGGGGAGCTGTTCAACCAGAACCCCGACGTCTTCTTCCTCTACGAGCCCGTGTGGCACGTGTGGCAGAAGCTGTACCCGGGCGACGCTGTGTCCCTGCAGGGCGCCGCGCGGGACATGCTGGGCGCTCTCTACCGCTGCGACCTGTCCGTCTTCCAGCTGTACAGCACGGCGGGCGCGGGCAGGAACCTCACCACGCTGGGCATCTTCGGCGCGGCCACCAACAAGGTGATCTGCTCCGCCCCGCTGTGCCCGGCCTACCGCAAGGACGTAGTGGGCCTGGTGGACGACAAGGTGTGCAAAAAGTGCCCGCCGCAGCGCCTGGGCCTGCTGCAGGAGCAGTGCCGCCAGTACCGCACGCTGGTCATCAAGGGCGTGCGCGTCTTCGACCTGGCCGTGCTGGCGCCCCTGCTGCGCGACCCTACGCTGCGCCTCAAAGTCATCCACCTGGTGCGGGACCCCCGTGCTGTGGCCAGCTCCCGCATCAAGTCCCGTCACGGCCTGATCCGCGAGAGCCTGCAGGTGGTGCGGAGCCGTGACCCCCGCATCCACCGCATGCCCTTCCTGGATGCCAGCCACAAGCTGGGTGGCAAGAAGGAGGGTGGCGGTGGTGGCGGTGGCTCAGACTACCACGCGCTGGGGGCCATGGAGGTGATCTGCAGCAGCATGGCCAGGACCCTGCAGACTGCCCTGCACCCACCAGACTGGCTGCAGGGCAACTACCTGGCTGTGCGCTATGAGGACCTGGTGGTGGATCCCATCAAGACCCTGCGTCAGGTGTACAGCTTCGTCAACTTGGTGGTGAGCCCTGAGATGGAGAAATTTGCCCTCAATATGACCAGCGGGCCAGGCTACTCCTCCAAGCCCTTTGTGGTGTCTGCCCGCAACGCCACCCAGGCGCTGAGTGCCTGGAGGACAGCACTGAGCTACCAGCAGATAAAGCAGATTGAGGAGTACTGCCACCAGCCGATGGCTGTGCTGGGCTATGAGAGGGTCAGCAGCCCTGAGGAGGTGAAGGACCTCAGCAAAACGTTGCTCAGGAAACCGAGGCTGTGAGTGGGGCGCAGAGAGGTTGCGATTATCCACCCCAAGGGGTTGCAGATCTGCTGACCCTGAGAGCTGAGCCCATTGCAGGAACCAGCTGTGCTTGCTGGAGAGGGGGAGCGAGAGAGGGCAGCTTGGTTCTTCTGCTAGCTGGGGTATGGCCGTTCCCCTAAAGACTGTGAGAGGGTAATGCACGTTAACATTTTTGCGTTGCCGGGTTATAGACAATTAAAAAAAGTGGAACTTAACAGTATTTGTAAAAACCCCTTTCCCTGCTCTTGAAATGCCGGGAGGATTCGGTACCAAAATCTTGTTTACAAACAGACAATGGTAATGACAGACTTACCTAATTCCTGAGACACCTGTGCTGGGGACAGGATGATTTTGAAAGCATAATACCGAGAATTGGACTTTTGTATAAAATAAATGTTCCAGGGTGATATGAATAAAGAAAATAATAAATGATTTTTATAATTACCTCGATTGTTTGGGAATCACGCCCATTGCGCATGTGTACTTAGAAAGGTATTTGTTTATACACATTTGATAGCAACAAAGACATTTTAAGGGTCCCTGTTGGGGCAAGTGGGAAGATCAACAGATCAGCAGGAGATCAACAGCTTGGCAGTTTATCTCCTCCTGTTCAAAGGTTAGAAGCTGCTTTTTCTGGTGAACAAATATGAATCCCACAAATAGTGCAGATTTCATGCCCATATGCACATATCTCAAATCATTCTCTGCTTAAATAGCAAACATGTTTAAGTTGTACTGTACTGAAAAAAAATGGCAGGGGCTGGGGGGAGGAAGAAAGCAAGCAAAGTGCCACTCTATCTCTATAAAAAGTTTAAAGCATTTGCCATTATAATAATATTTATTTTTTGTCTTGAAGTGTGTTCAGGATTCTCTGTTAGAGAGAGTATGTGTATTTACAAAAAAGTAGCCCCCCCAACAAAACAGAATTTAAATGGATGATTATAATACTGAAAAGGTTAGCTTGTATAGGGATGGGTTATGCATTTGTGTGCGCGCACACACACACACACACACACACACACACACAGTTGTGCAAACAATTGCTATAGGCAGATAAAATACTTAAGTATATTTTTGGCATGTTCATTGCCAGCTGATATAAGCAAGGGAGCAGAAAAATAAGCTGGAGATTCCATATAAATAGTGTAAAACTTCATTTTCCCCCAATGTTTTAATGTATGGATGTGTGTTTGTTTGCCTATACAGAAGGTAGGAACATACATTTTTTGGTTTGCAGGGTCCATTCCACAGTTTTTACTGAGCAAAACTACCATTTGACAATAAAATGAAAATGTTGGTCAGATACTAATTTGCTGTAAATTGTTGTAGCTCCAGCATGGAGCCAGATGATGATTTTGGCTCTCAGTCCCTGTGAGGTTTTGTCTGGACCATCAGGAACATTATTAAACTTGGTAGAAGTAGGAGAAGTTACTTCTCTCAGTTCTGTTTGCTAAAAAATGTTCACATTCACAAAGGGAAAATGGTGCGCCGCATATGAGAACTACAGCCACCTGCAAATACTTGTTAAGCCTGTTGTTAATATTCTCCAGTGCTGTTCAAAGGGAACACGGTGAACTTTGCAATATCAAATTAAAAAAAAATTCCAAATAGTGTTAGGTTATGAGACCACCATTTTTTCCCTGTGAGAAGCACATTTTATATTACCTACCTGAATGTTGTGCCTTCAGAAAATACAAAGAATTTATAGGAAAAAGAAGATTTGGGCTGTAGAAAATATATAAGGATATTGATAAGTGTGTGTGCGTACAGGCGTGTGTGTCTACTTATGTATGTGTGAAAATTGTGGCTTATGTATAATGTCTATTTTTTGTATTAATATGAAACTTTTAAGTTAAAGATGATACATCAGACTACTAAGACATTTACATTCTTGATAAAACATTAGCAGTTAAATGTTCTCAAAAGGAAATGTAGATGTTTAATAAGCCCATTGAAAAGCTTGTTGTACAAGGTTGCATGTACACTTGCTGAATAATTTTATGACGTTGTACCCATTTTCTTAATTCATCAGTAGAAGCAGTAAAAGTAACATTGATAATGCTTTATTGGGAACATTTCATTGTTAAATATAATTTATTCCCAAGCGCCATGGATATTAAGGGTGAGAAATGGAAGGGATGTTTATTTGTTTTATTAAAATGAATATTGAAATCAATTTTTTGTGATAATGGAACTAGATGTTTCATGTCAACACTATAAGTATTCTGATTTTACTTTGGATGATTTTTCAGTATTTGGGCTTGGGCTGTTGCTCAATTATCCTATCCCAAACAAAGCATCCCAGGGGACTGCATATAAAGATTCCGTTCTGGTTTTAGACCATGTGGCTTCATTAAATGCCTTTTCTTCTAGTTGTATAATCCTGTTCTGCTGCTTCATAGCAACTGCACAGTCTTTATAAATTCTATTATTAGGGGGGTTAACCACTTAAGGCTACAGTGCCATTCTCTAGCTACCTTCTAGGAAAGGAATTCAGGTTGTTCCCCTAAATTTTGGAATCTGTATCTGTGATGATTTCAGATCATGCTGTGTTAAGCATGACAGTTTCATGCACTTTCTAAACTAGGATTTGTCACATGTTATTCTACCAGCTCCTCTGATACCAGAAGCTCATTTATTCTTCCATGGGAGTTTTGTGAGAGAGAAACTGCAGGACTGATTCCAAGAATATTAGGAGACATGTTTAGTTTGTTTAGCCTCCACGAGTGATAACGCCAGAGGCAATACCCTCCACATTTTAAATGCTTAAAAATTTTTTTTTTGTAAGCTGAACTCAGGTCTCTTGAGATGAAAGGCTAGTGGTTATAATCAATTTTGAAACAAGTATTTTTCATCCAATAGGCATGAAAGGATGAGAGAGACTATTCTTTTTTTCCTCTTACATATTTAATTGACACAGTGTGTTTTAAGTGTCCTTGAAAGCAGGGGGCATTTCTACTTCAGCTGCCACAGATACAGAAAGGTTCTGTAGAGTGCACTTCAATTTTGATCACACGCATCCCTTTAATTCCAGACATGGGTCTCCTTGGAACCGAGAATACCAATCATGTCAAATTATACCCTGGCTTCTTAATGTGAACAGACTGACTATCAGCCAGATCCCACCTGCTTTATTCAGATGATAATCTCACTGATGTCTTCAGGTCATTTCCATTTTCTGTCTAATGTCATTGAAACTAGTAGAATTACAGACAGGGTGAATGTGGTCCACTGAAATGACACGTACAAATAAGGCAAGAAGGATTTAGCACATAAGCTATGGGTTAACCTAGAACTGCTAGGTATACATGTATTCAAGTTGTCAGTGGCATGTTTGAGGTCTCATTGTCTAACAGCAGTTTCTTATCTACTGTATCATTGCTCCTGAAAAGGTGTTTGTGGGTAGATGTGGAGTAAAGTCATAACTGAGTCAAATATTATCTCTCCACTATGAACCATATAATATACCTTATCTAAAGAATAAATTGAGCTCTTTGAACTTACTGACAGCAAATGAGGTTGCTGGAAAGTGTTTAGCGTGAAACATTGTTACTCAACCCCATTCCATATGTAGTTCCTTAGATAAATAACATTTTGCTAAGACGATGCTTAGAGTCTGCATATTCTTGATTATATTAACTTTGAAAAACATTAATCTTACTCAAATTTTTTTTCTGAGGTTGGAGTTTTTCAGGTCATGAGATCATGAAAGAGTGATGGTGTCATAATCCTGCACTATTAGATATTTAACGTCCCAACTAGCTGGAACTTAAATTATAAAAGGCAAGATGTAAATCAATCTAAGGCTAAGTGATAGAAAGCAAATTGTACAGTAGTGCTTTGATCAATACAGACCCTGCACATGTACCATTGCATCTGCATTCCAGAGTTCTGTATAAAATGTGTGTAAATAAATCATGTAAAAACCAAATGATAATGCACATAGGGAAAATGTATGAAGTAAGCTATAATGTTGAGCATCTGCAATAAAACCTGGGTGAAAATGACATGCAGGGAAGGAGACATTGTCTCCCAGATGAGTTAAAGAATGGAGGAAGGAATACAAACCTCACTGATATCCATGGCAATGTTCTCCATGGTGTCAGTATTTCTTTCCTGAAGTTTGGAAGTTTTCTTGTCCTCATTGTCTAGTCTTGCTCTAAAAAGGGATGAGTGGGCTATGAGTTGTACCAGTGCAGTGCTAAGAAGTATCTAAAACTTGTGTCTAAAGCTGCTCCTATAGCAGTATTTTTCTGCTGTGTTGTGGATGAAGATCGGGCTCTCATTTCAGTTCATATTTACCAAGTGAAAATCAACAATGAAAATAAGCATAGGGGAAATAATAATAATAAAAAAAAATTACCATCACAGCAAGAAATCAAATAAAGAGCTGTATGGGCTTGTTTCTGTAAGGTTCTGAGTTTCCTCAGCTTCTGTTGGCATCATTGGGGCATGAGGGTGGTTCAGAACCACTATGGAAAGAGGCCCCAAAGGCTAGATTTTGAAAGGTTTTTAGGCCCTTAAGAGGATTTTCCTGAAAGCTTAGGCATCTAACTCCTATTGAAGGAGCAGATACAAACAGAAGTCAATAGGAGTTTGGCTTCTGTATGGCAGAGAGGCATTTAGATGTTGAAGATCCTACTAGGCACTTATCTGGACCTTTAGATGTTTAAGTACCTTTACAGATTGGGCCCCTGAAGAACTAATTTGTGCCACATATTTCTTACCCTTTAAAATGACTTGACCTTAACTGTTACTGCAGGTGACACTTATACTAAAATGTTCATGATGGCAGTACATTAACAGCAGCAGCTTAGCTGTTTCAGAGGCTCAGCAGCAAAATGGTTAGCAATAATCACTTTGGAAAGAAGTAGATTTATAATTAGGATGCTGCATCCAGTCATGTCTTTTGTTTTACCCAAGGGTGATAAAGATAAGAGTAAAGGCAAGAGACATTTATTTAGAAGAAAGGAAAGGAATACAAAACAGTCTGTTAGAAGTCACTCTTGTCTTGCTGTAGGAAGAAAGAAATGCTGTGGAGGAAGACAATTCGAAAAACAAATACTACACAGCAATGTTAGAGGAGGAAAGAGACAGATATTTGCATGTTAAAAGCAGGGATGATAAAACCCTAAAGGGGATAACAGAAAATGTACAGATGCTGTACGTTATAGTTATAAAAATTGATAGACAGAAAAGGATCCCTCGCTTCACAATACTGATATTTTTGGACCTTTTTTAAAGTTTACAACCTGTAGGATCCTGGCATGAGTTATATTTATGGTTCAATTAAAGTGCTAATCATGCCATAACAAGTAAGTGCTATACATTCTGGTGATTTATTTTTATGGGATCATAAAGTTGGCAATTTAGCCACAAAGACATTCCACAAAATATGTGAAACATCTCTGTAGCTCATTTGCAAGGCACCA